TCAAATGTGTTGTAAAAGGGCATAAGCCCTTCGGTCTTCTGAGAGCTCTAATTAAAGGGTGGCCTTGTTTGCTTGAAGGATTAGCGCTGCATCAACATCATCCGCTGACACCACTAAATGTGGACTTACGGTGCTCATACACTTAATTTAGCATCAGTCTTATTGAAGGTCAAACGTTTCTCTCATTCTTCTGTTTTGTATGGTGACTCTCATACATCTCCTACATCAAGTATCAATAAAAAGTTGGAGTTGCAATTGGATATATGGAGGAGAATTATACTCATAACTCTAAAAAAGTACTACTACTTAACATATAAGCATTCTTTTAAAGGAAAACTAATGAAAAGGGCTTGAAAACTTTGAGTTTTAATGATAAAGACAAAATAAAGGGTAAAGTGAATAGTACCAAGATTGACTTTTTAGTGTAAAAATGTGGTTTTTCGTCAAAGTGAACAGTACCGGGTGCTTTTCATTAAAGTTCCCTTCTTTTAACTGTCAAAAAGGATCCTAATGGGAAACTCATCACAAGAGAATCTGAAGATATAAATCCAAGATTGTAGGTTACGTCTTTTTTTCCTTCTCTATTTTATGAAAGAAAAATCCAACGTTTCATCACACGACCAAGAAATGTTTTGTTGGTCATTAACAGCAGACGACAACAAGCAGCAGCAACACACCTGGTCATATAATTTAAAGGGATGCTTTCTATATTGTAATGTAATAAACTATGAATATTGCTACAGTCTCCATTTAGGCATTTACCTAATCTGATTCAAGGGGAACAGTATGTGTCTCCCTCCTCAATCGAAAAAAAATGTACAAAATCTGGAAATTTTTTGGTTTACAAAATTGTAACAATCACACAGTTCGTGTAATTGCTCTCCACAATCCACTACCCAATCATACTGCACTCAAGCGAGATATGAGATCAAGGAATGCATCTTGTCCGCAGGGAATTGTTAGACCACCCATTGGATGATCAAACCCAAATTCTTCTTCAACTTCACTTAGCAAGTGTTGAAATGCAGGCTGGCAGAGGAAAGATATGGGAACCACAAATCGGTGCTTCTCACTCTCACCAACATAAACTGCAAAATAACCTTTAGGGACATCTGCTAAATTATATGAAGCTCCTTGACTTGAATTTGAAAAAGACCGTCGAAAAAGTTTCTTAGCAGGAATTACAGCAGGCAGACGGACCCCATTGTTGTAAGTCTTTGGAGGAAAGACTAGCAATAAAGTTTATAAGAACTTGAAGAGGATCTCAATGAACTTGTAATTGCAAAACAAGAAAGCTGTATACTTGAGAACTTGAAGATTTAATTTGGTGGTCATCATCCCATTCATATGGTATATATAGATGAAAAGTATTGTGTAACATCTTCCACTAGAGAAAAAATATATGGTAAAGACAATGACAATCTGGATGGGGTATAGAAGGGAATAAGAGTTCATCAGGGATCACATGGTTCTGTCTTCAAATTAATCAAGCATTTAGCCAAAATATGTGGAGCCTCCATCACTACCAAGGTTTGTCATGAATTGGAAGGCAGAGCCATGTGAACTTTTAAATGCTGATATCTATAGCCACACAATTGCCTGGAGAACACCCACACAGCCTTTCACGCCAACTGTTAAGAGATTTATTTTTATTTTTTTTTCTTTTTCCCGACACATCCATTGTTTCAGTTTGGATATGGAAACTTGTTGCTATGATATAGTACTTCAACAACAAATCAATTTGTATTGGGTCCACATATATAATATGTTGAACTAGCAACCTGCAAGAAAATGCCTGTTTTCTGCATGTTTCTGATTTTATACTAGTCATGTATCTATTCTTCCACATATATATATAGTATGGCATCGGTCGTTTTAACTTTGAGACAAGTTCATATGATTTTCCATGAACTAATCTCTCTCATGGTACCATCATGGTCCCTCAATGATCACCACTCAGAGAAAAGTATACGAATTTGAAGACAGGCATGTGAACTTGCAAATGCTTCTGTCTTTAGAATTATTATTTTTTTCAATCCCATTCAATTTCCTGCAGACCACTCACTCAAACTTTCTTATAACATTATGTTGATTGTTAGGATTACGACTGATCTTTCCAGCATACCTTCCAAACATGAGTAGGACATTGTGTTTTATTTTTGTTTCAATACGTTTTCAGTTTGTGCAGTTATTAAGAGATGTAGCTGTTGGGTATTGTGATTCTTCATTTCTGCTCATACATTTTTCTTGATTAATTGGAAAGACAAGTCCATGTGATTTTCCATGAGAAAATGACTATCACTTGGCTCCGCGACAGTCCTTCAACAATTGTATTTTTTTCCGTAAATGATGTCCTTGAAAAATTGGAAATCATAGCCCTGTGAACATTTAAATGCTTAAGCTGGGTCACTTGACAATCCGCATTCAATTGCCTCCAGACCACTCTCTCCAACTTGTACAGATTATTTTGTAGACCTCACATTTTATATGCTAAAACTGTTGAAATAGCACCACGGGAAAAATTCTTGTCTCAAGCATGTCTCTGATTTTTTATAGGCCTTCAATTAAGAGAGGTAGGACATTGGGTTGCTTTCGTTCAGTCATTGACTCGTGAAATGTTGTTGATAACCTGTAGACAAGTCCATGTGATTTTCTATGAGCAAACTCTCTCTCTCACTTGGGTCCATCCCAGTGCTTCATCACCAATCATTTTAGGTAACTGATGGCTTGCAGCATACCGCTTTGGCTATATATGCATACATCATCCACGGTTCATAAGCAAACCAACACAAGTCTTCTACTCCCAAGCATATCTTATCAAAGCTCTTTCTGTAACGAAATTCATTTGAACTCTTTATTGTTCCTTTTTACAGAGAAATTTTAAAACCATGGGTTTTCCGATTGCCTGGTATTATTTTACTTGCCAAGAAAAGTCAAGTTTCTTCAAAGTCATTGGATGTTTCCAAAAGGCTATCTTGCCATCTACGTTGGGAGAGAGCCAGAAGAAGCGGTTTAATTATTCCGGTGTCCTACTTGAACCAACCTTCAATTCCAAGATCTGTTAAGTCTATCTGAAGATGAATTTGGATATGATCATCCAATGGGTGGTATCACAATCCCCTGCAGTGAAGACACCTTCCTTGGTCTCACCTCAGCTTTGGTGTATAAGTAGAGGCTAGCTACATATACATCAACACCATTTTGACACCAACAGCTGTAAAAGCGCTTGGCAATTTTAATCGCTTTCTGGCTCACTTGAAGGAGGTTCAATTAATTGATCATCCAATGAATCATCATGATGGAAGAGGACATCAACGTCAAACCGCTTATGAGCTGAGAGGAAAATGGCCAGCCTAGCTGACATAAACTCACTGACACAAATTTTCAAGAATAGTTATTGTCAACAGATTGTACATAGTTGTCCTGCAAGGAAAACTCAGATTAGAATATTTCATTACAATACAACGTTTTTACAGTTTCATGATTTACCTTTCATTTTATTCACTATCTTCTCTAATCAAGTTATGAACAGAGGATAAATTTATACACAAGGGACTAATTACTGGAATATTGACAGACGAAGTAATGCAAGTAAACATCATAGGAAGATTTAAAAACATGTTATGAATGGAATATTGTACGGATAAAATTTTAAATATAACAAGCATTGGATGCACCCAGAATAGCACTAATCCCTGCTGAAATTACCATGAAAATACCAATGTGTGTATTCAATATGCTCCAAATTAAATAGCACCAGTCCATGCTTAAATTCTCACAAAAATATCAATGCGAACATTTTAATACATTCTATCTCATAGAAATTTTGGTTTGGTTGACATTAGAAACCTATTCAGGCAAATCCCCAAAGACATGCGCCAAAGTTTTTAACCATGCTAGGCTCTAAGATATCCAAATCTTGATATGATTATATTACTTACTAGCCTGGTCAAAAAGTTTCAACTATACAGATATTAGCAAAGCAAAGATATAGTCTCAAGCAGGTTCTTTACTGCAAGAGATCAGCCTAGCTACTTAATTTTTTCCCGTGTCAAGAACTACAACTCTTACCTTCCCCAAATTTGATCTGATTACTCAAATAAATGGTACCTGTACATACGAATGTTCCAACTTGATTTTGTGTGTTGACAGTGGAATCTGTACGCATTAAAAGATTTAACTTTATGGGAGCTATAGGTCTTTGGCTAGCGAATTCAGTACTCACTTGTGTTAAATCTCTCATGGACAGTGGAATCACATGATTGGTGATTAATCCAAAAGAACTAGGGACCGAAGCCGTTTGGAAGCTCCTGAGTCAATGTCCATCTTATTAAAGAAGCACCATGTCCACTCTCAGCAGTTGTATAGAAGTAACTAAAACTGACTGACAATATATCCCACCTTTAAGATAATCCCCAAGCTAATTAGATCACAGACAGGCTTATTGAAGGTTCAACGTTTCTTTCATTCTTCTGTTTTCTATGATGACTCTTATACATCTACATCAAGTATTAATAGAAAGTTGGAGTCGTAATTGGATATATGGAGAACAATATAACTCATACAGAAAATTTCATAGTGGAGTTGTTTAAATGAAAAATTCGCATTTTACTCTACCAAATGACATACTAGTCATGCAGAGAAAACTAAGGTTATTGGCTAAACTGTTGAGGGGACTACTACTTAACATATTAGTATTCTCATAAATATATATAAAAATAAATAGTAAAATAAAAAAGGATCCTAATGGGAAACTCAATCACGAAAGAATCTGACAAATTTAATCCAAAATTGTACAGGTCACGTTTTTTTACTTCTCTTTTTTATGACAGAACAAAATTAGTCCTTAAGGTTAAATCAGACGGTTCATCCACGACCCAAGAAATGTTTTGTTGGTCATTAACAGAAGACAACACCTAGCAGCACCAACACACCTGGTCATATAATTTAAAGGGATGCTTTCTATATTGTAATGTAATAAGCTATGAATATTTCTCCATTTAGGCATTTACATAATCTGATTCCAGGGGAACAATATTTCTCCCTCCTAGATCGAAAAAAAAAATGCGCAAGATCTGGAAATTGTTTGATTTACAAAATTATAACAATCACACAGTTCATGTAATTGCTCTCCACAATCCACCACTCTATCATACTGCACTTAAGCGAGATACAAGATCAAGGAAAGCATCTTGTCTGCAGGGAATTGTTAGACCGCCCATTGGATGATCAAATCCAAATTCTTCTTCAGCTTTACTTAGCAAGTGTTGAAATGCAGGCTGGCAGAGGAAAGATATGGGAACCACAAATCGGTGCTTCTCACTCTCACCAACATAAACTGAAAAATAACCTTTAGGAACGTCCGCTAAATTATACGAAGCTCCTTGACTTGAATTTGAAAAAGACCTTCGAAAAAGTTTCTTAGCAGGAATTACAGAAGGCAGACGGAACCCCATTGTAGTAAATCTTTGGAGGAAAGACTAGCAATAGAGTTTATAAAAACTTGAAGATCTCAAGGAACTAGCAACTGCAAAACAAGAAAGCTATATGCTTGAGAACTTGAAGATTTAATTTGGTGGTCTTGATCCAATTCATATGGTATATATTGATGAAAAGTCATGTTGATTAATATCTTCGGCTAAAGAAAAAATATATGGTAAAATCAATGACAACTCGATGGGGTATAGAAGGGAACAAAAGATCATTAGGGATCACATGCATGGTTCTGTCTTCAAATTAATCAAGCATTTAGGGAAAATATGTGGAGCCTCAAGCACTACCAAGGCTTCTGAAGAATTGGAAGACAGAGCCATGTGAACTTTGAAATGCTAGTATCTATTGCCACTCAATTGCCTGGAGAATACCCACGCGGCCCCTCACGCCAACTACTAGAGATTGTTCCCCTACACATCCATCGTTTTATCAGTTTGGGAATGGAAACTTATTGCTATGATATAGTTGTTCAACCACAATTCAATTTGTATTGGGTCCACGTATATAGTATGTTGAACTAGCAACCCGCCAGAAAATGCCTGTTTTCAGCATGTCCCTGATTTTATAGTTATGTATCTATTCTTCCAAATGGATTCAATTATGCAAATTTTAATCTGATCTGATGGCATCGGTGGTTATAACTTGGAGACAAGTTCATGTGATTTTCCATGAGCTAATCTCTCTCATGGTACCATCGTGGGGCCTCACTGATCACCAATCAGTCGTTTCAGATAATAGATGGTTTATGGCATATATCCATTTATCTATATATTTTATGGTCAGGCTCAGAAGAAAATGTCCAAGCCTTCTCTCATTTTTAGAAGTCAACTGAAATTTTCCATTGTTGCTTCATCTTCTCAATAAGAAATTTTAAACTACGTTTTTCTGGTTGCCGGTCACTGTTCATGCTGAGAAATTCCAAGTTTCTTCAAAGGCCTTGGATATTCCTAATGAGAACTATAACGTATTATTACTTTTAATTCAGCTGGTTATCTTATATATCTTATGTTTGGGTTCTAGTGAACTCTTATGTATTTGTTCCTACGTCTTTCTATCACTCGTCAATTCTAGGTGTATCTCAGGATCGGGGCGTGATGCCTCAACCATGATAGATCGAACATAAAAGGAGAGATTTGTTAGCCTACGACTTTATGTGTCCATACAATCTCTGGTAAGCAATAACCTCCATATAGTAAGGCTTAGCTAAGATGGCTAGCTAATGTAGTGAGCTCCTAAACTCTTCGGTATAATTAGGAATGAAACCGTGTAATTATAAGTTGTAAATCCTGATGTAAGATTTTCAACATTAACATGGTATAGCACAATTCTAAATATTGTAAAATGGAGCTGTTATTTTCACAACAAATATTACTTCCCTTACAAAAATGCAATGATCATTTACTAAAAAATTACTGCAACTTTTATGTACATCATTCAAAGATACAGTTTTTACTCCTCACAAAAGTTTTCACAATTACTTCCTACAGCCAGTGTTACCAAATCATGTAATTCTTTATAATTCTTTACGGACCACTGTCGACCTAGACAATATTAGATAAGAGATACTCGTATTGTAAGCAAACTATATAGAAACTGAAATCTTTCTGTGAAACCTTGCTCTAAACTAATTGTAATTTCATTTAACAGGAATTCTGAAATTACCCTTTTGTCCCCTATCCACTACTCAATCCAGTTCTTTTTGGGATTTCCTCACAACTCTATCTCTCTCTCATTAGCTACCACATGGCAATTCCCCATCCATTTTCTCTCATTCTCTCTTCCTTTCTCTCGAGCTCTCTCATTCTCAGCTCACTTTCTCTCTCGCACAAACTCTCTCTTCCTCACCCTGATCTACGCACACCCCAAATCAATTCACGACGACGACAGCGACACAACCACACCCACCGTGTGAGCCTCTCTCTCTCCCTCCTTCTCCATGAAGCCCAGGAACCCAACAAAATTCCTCAGGCAAGCCCCGTGGCTTTCGAGCCAAAATCCGGCCAACTCCAGCCACCACTCTTCGTGAAATTGGTACGAATCTCTTCCTCTCCTCATAAGCTTCAATTTGATAGATAAATCACACCCTAGGGTTGAGAATCGACATTGAACGGAGCTCAAGAAGCTACGGCATTCCCTTCCGTCGAAACCGGGTTGAAACGACCCAAACTCGGAGCCCAAGTCCTTTGGCCTAAATTCTTGGGCTAGGCTTTCAAGCCCAAAGCCCATTAGAACCTAAACCCAAAACCCCATGTAATCCAAGCCCTTGGGCCATATAGAACTCAGGCCTTATACCCATTAAACCCTCAATACAAACCCTTTGAGCCCAAACCTGAAACCCTTTAACCCTATTTCACCCAAAATTAGGCCTCTGGGCCATGTTAATGTGAGCCTTAGGCCCAATGAACCTAAGCCCAACCTTGCAGCCCGGTTCCTTAAACCCAAGCCTTTGGGCCGTGCAACCAGGCCTAGTTGTGAAGCCCAGGCCTAATTGCCTCGGCCGACCCAAAGAACCCAGAAACCTAGCCGTGAGTAGGCCATGCATAACCCTACGCGTCGGCGTGCATGGAGCACACGCACCTCCATCCACTGCGGCACCGGTGATTTTTCCAGCCAACTTTCCAGTGACCAATTGCTGGGCGTGGCCGCTAGAGCCGCCACATTGCAGCGGCGCGTAGGGGTACCCGAGGTTCTAATTATGTTTTTCAACGTCCTGAATCTGTTTATGATGTACATTTCCCTAAATTCAATCATTATGATAGAGTTTTATTAATTGGACTCTTTATGTGGTTAGGTGTGACTATTAGCGGTGATTTTGTCCTTCCTATTTCGCACGGTTCATCGACGATGAAGTATTTGTGAGTGAACCCCTTCTAAAATGCATGTTTTAATAGTAGAAATGCATACATGAAAAGCATGATTTAATGGTTACGTTTTATGAGTAAATTAGATTTACACTGTATGTTTATCATGCTTTAGTGAGAATATTTTGGAATACCATACTTTATCGAAATTATGTTCTTTGTAGTATATATGATGGATGACTATATACTATTTATGAACATGTTTTTACACTCTTTGTAGTATATATGATGGATGACTATATACTATGAAGATGTTTTGAGATATATGTATTTATGTCAGAAAGATTATATTCAATTATTTTGTGCTTATCTAGTGGTTACTATATATGCCTTCGGGTGGGTGTTGTAGGAGTCTACGGATGATTGATACTATATATGCCTTCAGGTGGGTGTTGTAGGAGCCTACGGGCAATTGATATGTGAAGTGTTCTGAATGAAGGCCTTCGAGCGAATGAAGTGTTCTAAATGAAGAGTTCTATATATGCCTTCGACCGATCCTGATACCATTATTTAGCACACTATATCAGATTTACGTTTTACAAAGGTTTTATGGCATGCTAGGGTTTTCGGAAAACCTATCACATATTATGCTATTAGTTTTCATAAACTTTGGGGGTTAGTACATTAATGAATAACTATATTTGTACTACTTATATATCAACTTGGTCCAACCATATTTGTTTTGCGCTCCCTCAGGACATAGGAATGAGGCTTACGATCCGAGCTATGAGGCATTCTCCTACTAGTGGCATTGTGCCATCCTTTCTGCTTTGACGTCATTGTAATCGCACCTTCCGCTTGTATTCTGAATTAGATGTAAGCTCTGAACATATCATGCACTATCACTATCTTTATCATTGTCGGCAGTTGAATATTATTATATTATTTTATAAGGTTTATGTGGGAATATTACATTGCGTAGTTCGCGCAAAATTTACATGCATGTTTCACATTTTCTCAGCATATGCATTCATTAAATGGCTTGCGTCACCCCCGGGTGTTGGCCAGCACGTGACCATCCCAATGTCCCTTGGACATCGGGATCAAGGCATGTCACTTTCTCTGTAAGCTTTCTTTTGTATTGAATGAATAACTCATTACATTGTGCATGACAGTATATATAGCCCTTGGTTATTTACATTCACACCTTTAACAACCTTAACTAATCACAACAATTAATATAACTAACTACATTTAGTTATAACAAACTATTTATCAGTAATTGAAATGGATGACTTGCCATTCTCCCCAATACATCCCCTCAAGCTAAAATTGGGATCATAGGTGATACCAAATGGGAAGCTTAGATTTCAAGTGAGCAAACCTGCTTTTAGACAGAGACTTGGTGTGTATGTTAACCAATTGATATTCATTGCAAACAAATTGCACTTTAACCAGATTGGCAAACACTAATTCTTTGATATAGAGTAGTCTATATCAACGTGTTTTGTTCTTGCATGAAATACAAGATTGGAAACTAAAGAGATAGCTGAGATATTGTCACACCACAAAGTAGGAATTTTAGGGAGAGGAAATTGATGATCATGAAAGATTTTTCAAATCCAAGTGATCTCTATAGTCGTGTGAGCTAAGGATCAATGCTCAACTTCTGTGGAAGATCGAACAACTATGCATTGTTTCTTGGCACTCCAACTTATGAGATTTCATCCAAGTAACACACAATATCCACTTGTTGGTCGCCTGTCAAATGTGCAGCTTACCCAATCAACATCTAAGTATGTTCAAAGATGAATAAGACCTTTTTGAACCATAAACCACAAGAGATGGTGCCTTTAAGAAATCTGAGTACTCATTTTGCAGCTTGAAGGTGTTGATCCCTTGGAGCATGTATGAATTGACATATTTGGTTCACATGATATGAAAGATCATGCCTAGTCCATGTAAGATATTGCAATCCTCTAACAACTGAATGATATTTAGTAGGATTGAGCAAAAGAGGCCCATTGTGATCCAGTTTCTTGGAACCAAGAGGATTACAACAAGGTTTTGCACCTTCCATATTTGTTTTCATGAGAAGATCGAGCAAGTATTTAGATTGATGAAGAAAAATACCTTCAGATGTTCTATGCACTTCTAAACTA